AATGCATTGAACATCTTTTGTATAGTTCTAATGACAAGAGTACAATGGGAAGAAAATCAGCCAAGCGTTCAGCGAGAGTACCCGACCAGCGTTACTGGTGATAAATTCACAATAAAAAAGACGTTTTATATTTTCACATTTGTTTTACAAAGACAATAAGCTATTTTGTTTGCGACAGTTAATAAATAGTCGAACAGAAAAGGTTTTACTGTTTCATCGTACGTGAAGTTGCTGGATCGATTCGCCTCATTAATAGCACACGCAGACAGTATATCTGTCTTCCACATTCGAGGGTGAAGTGAGTCGGCACGATGAACGCTACTTCTATGCAAAGATAAAAATAGGGTTGCCTGGTGACGAAGACCCTTGAGAGAGGTCGAAACTATAGTCGTAGCGATCTCTCCTGTTTGAACACGCCCCTCACACCCACCCACACCCTCATCCACACCCACACCCTCACCCTCACCCGATTGTTTCTTGTGATTGTTCTCGAGGATATGAGTGTATCCCTTTAATTCCTGGTAAAGGTCACCATTCGGAATTCTAAAAACTCGGGCACGGTACAAATTCTGTGGGAAAACCGCGTCTATGTTCCGTTTATATGTCTTGTCGGTTTCCGCTAAGCCAGTGTTGGAAACCGTAGGAAAGAATAGAAAAAGTCATCGTTAATTAGAAGATCTTCAAGGATCTGGTTGCTAACGGCGTGTCCCGAGTAGCAGTGTCAAAATTTAGTCATAAATTTGATGTACATTTCCATTTAAGTTTCGAATACGATAGCTTTGAAAAACCCAACTTCATCAAAGCATTTCACATCCGCAAAGAGTGAATCGTGTTCAGCCCAATTTTTGTATATTGATAGTTTAGTAGGAAAGTCAAAGTTGAAAGTATGATTCACATAACTGTCGATTTGTTCTGAATTAAGTTTAACCCAACTATTACGTATGTGTGTGACAAAACGCATAGCCCAATCATCACGATCTTCAGCTTCGTCAAGAAAAAGATCGATTAGAACAAAAACGCCATTTGCCTTTAAAATACGTCGAATTTCTTGAACGAGTTCTTTCTTATCGTCATCTCGAAGATGATGAACTGCAATTGATGAAAATATGACATCATACGAAGATGCTTTAGCTTGTCTAACAAAATTTAACATATCACCGATAGCAAATGATACTGCAGCGTTAATTTCTAACAAAGGGTGCATATTTTGTTTGCCAATCTCGACAGCTTGTTCTGATAAATCAACACCAGTATACGCAGATACCAAGGACCACATATTGTTATTCGCAAATGTTCTTGAAAGATAGTCAACATCACCACATCCAAGATCAAGAACAGAAAACGAATGCTAAAATGAATAAGTTATATTATGTATATCGATATATACCGAGGTCATTCTAGAAATCTTGACGAGCATAGACTGACAGTAAAAACTCAGCTATGTATTTCTACATTATTTGATTATTATTTATTCAATACAATAACGGTAAAAATTCAATCGGATCTGTCGACTGTGATTTGTAATCATCATCATAAGTTGAAGGGACACGGAAATATTGGCAAATAGCCAAAAGACAGAAACGATTCCAACAATTTTTCACTGGTTTAAGTAAAGCTCAACTCTAAACAAAAGTTTCTTGCTTGAACATTAGATAAAATACCAGTATTAATGTAAAAACGGGAGATATTCTTTCGCATTTGAACTAGACATGATCGGTGTCATAGTTTTACACAACTTTCTGTCTTTAAATCCTGTGAAAAGATACTATTAATCCGTTTCATAAGGACATATGAAATAAATACAACACGTGTCTTTATGTGTATGGCCGGTAGGATTTCAAAAGAAAGATGAGAGAAAATATAGAAAAATGGTAAAAGAGCAAAGATGAATCAAAATGAAGATGATATAGGGTATGGCTAGAATTACATATAAAAGTCGACAGACCCTATTAAATTTTTATTGTTATTGTATCGAATAAATAATGTTGAAATAATATGAAAATATGCAGCTGAGTTTTTACTCTCAGTCTACGTTCGTCAAAATATCTGGTATGCCCTAAGTATTTATAGAATTAAACGAAATATTCTTACTAGAAAACGATTTTTGAAATAGTCTGGTAATTTGGCATATAATACTCGATGATGATTATAGTCCTCATTTATTACCAGTTGATAACTTTGCCATTGTTTTTGGAAAATTGTATCCTTTTCCAAATTCTTGAAAATTAGTGTCGACGTCATTGAAAGAAAATTTTCAAATATTCTAAAAAAAAACTATTTAGACAAATACAAGAATTCCCATCGTTTGCTTGCATCCTCAAAATTAAAACCAAATAAAGCATACAATCTTGTGTTTTGCTTTACGACAAATGCTGTACGAAGTTACGCGTTCTAGATTCGCATATTAAATCAATAACAACATTATGATTAATCGAAATAGTTTGTTTTGCATTGTCAGGTGAATGTACTTTATACGAAACGCCTTCTTTACATAAAAGAAATTCTTTTTTCAAATTGTGCTGTTTTATCATTTGTTCTGCTCGGTAGTGTTTACATCATTTTTTGCAGGCAGTAAGCGACAGAGACTGCAATAAGTAAGTGGAAATCGATTCAGTACCCGGGATGGTGACCCTTGGTATTGGCCTTTTACATAAAAAAATACGCAAAAACATCATTGTGTTCTTTATAATCGTGCGTGTTTGCGCACGAGAATGAATAAATATTAATAATCGGTGAGTGAAGAATAACACGAAAAGGAAAAAAGCTTTCAACGCAATCCCTATCGAGATAAGAATGTGAAACACGATAGAGCTGGAAGAACCTCAATACAGAGCACAGTCAGTTTATCTCTCACTTTGCGTTCGCATCTATTAACCCTCGGTTACCGTCCTCATTTTATAACTTCAACAGTGTGCTGGGGTCCGCGTGGACCCACTCAGTAAAATTCTAAAAAATGATGGTTTTAGTTCACGTTTTGTATTCAGTTATACACTATATGTCTCCAAATACTCTTGCCTACATAGGTGATCTGGATAAAAAGCGTTGAAGATGAAGAATTTAACAAAAATAATTTCTTTCATGAATTCAGTTTTGATCAAGAAATACTTAAACTACACTACTATATAAACAAAATATAGCCTAATTATACGATAGATGAACGTACAAACGGATCATAATTTATTTATTCTACAAATAAATCTACGTATCACAGATGGCAGTTATAATAAGTCCCAAAATCATGTCTATAACACAAATGATGTTCTGGGGTCCAAACGGGCCCATATCTGCGTTTTTTACCTGTTAGATTCATATGTGATTTTTCATGTGGATATTATACTTCATCCATAGACTAGAGATTACAAAAAACGATTGGCTCGAAACAGTAAATTATTGCTCAGAATAGAATAAAAAACTATAAAGTGGGACCGCGTGGACCCCACGACGGTAACCGAGGGTTAAATGTAAAGCTCCGCTATTAAAAATAGCATGCCATTCTCGATAACCATGTCCGATGTTTTCTGATAAATTTTTGCCCCATGGACTACAATATATGATAGTTCGTAATGCATCCTCAGTTGATGACGGACCGTAACGTGTTACACGTATGTCGGTAGGGGTGTGTGAGGTAGAAGATTGCGGCTGAAAAATCACTTCTCTTTTCCCAAACTCTTCAGTATTCTCCTTCAAATCGTATTTCACAACAACGAACAAACAGTCAGCTTCATAGTAAATACGCTCACGATAGCATATAGCTCTTATTGTAAAAAGAGTATCAAACTTTGAGTCGTAACTGACAATAGATCGTGTTCGATGTACTTTGGTTTGTGTTCACAATAGAGTGCCATACTAACGAGGGAACTTCCCCAGGTGTTCAAGCCCTTTAGGTCCCGTCTTTTGGCGTTTAGTAGACCTCTATGAGGTATGAAAAACCCCAAGAGAATTCGTACGCTCGTGCCTTTTCCCCCAAGATATCGAATTCTCAAGATCTATACGAAAAGAGATCGAAATGAAAATCTTGAGTTTTTGAAAAACAGTAGAGCATTCAGGTGAATTTTTTTAAAACTTTGCGTACTACTCGTGCAACTTGTCCTGGTTTCAGAGTGAGTAGTGTAGAAATCGTTAACTCGATTCGAGTATTAAACATCTTCTTCGAGTTTTCGAGTTTTCAATTTCTACCACTCTCACCCTCACCCACACCCACACGCTCACCCCACACCCTCACCCACCCTCACCCACCCCTCACCCACCCTCACGCACACCCTCTAAATTTTAGAAGTTTAAAACTCGAAAACTCGAATGAAAACTTTAATACTCGAAATGTCTTTTCGAGTTATACATGTATGTATAATCGACNCTCACCCACCCCTCACCCACCCTCACGCACACCCTCTAAATTTTAGAAGTTTAAAACTCGAAAACTCGAATGAAAACTTTAATACTCGAAATGTCTTTTCGAGTTATACATGTATGTATAATCGACGAGCAATCACCTTCATCTGCCTGTTGAAAAAGACACCTAATGGCTGAAGTTGATCCGTCGTTTTCTTTGGTATTTCAAGCCTTATGCACTCGGGGATATGATCGCATAATCCCTTTCCATCAGTCTGTTCACCCCAACAGTCCGAGATGAATAGAAACTTCTGATGTTTTTCCAGTGATGACAGCAGCACATGATCGCGCCAGTACTCAACCATAGATGTTGTGAGCTTTCCAGAACTACTGCAAGTGATCACCACATTCGACGCCTTGAAAAGATGCAAGCGAATATTCTCGCTCATGTGTCCTTTGGGCTCCTTCAAGGAGAGGTAAAGCGGCGAAAGAAGATGACCGTCGAGTGTGATTGTTGGCTGTACAGTATAACTATGAGTGATGGCATTTATAGAGCGTACAGATCCGACTGTAACTTTCTCTCGTTTGTGGCTTAATGTTCGAGTAGAGTGTAATTCGAGCTGGATTCCACTTTGATCTGTGTTAATAACTTCGCTGGCTTCATATTGGGGCAAACGTTTGCGAACATCAGCTACGAACTGATCGGCCGAAGTTCTAATCGTCTATTTACCTTCTGTGTGGCGCTTCGTCATAATCTACAGTGAACAAATAACTACAGTAAATTTGATTACAAAGAATTGTGTAGAAACTAATGGTTCTCAAAGACTGACAAGTCTGAAGCTTGTAAAAGTCTCTTTTTTCGCGTTCGTCTGGTTTTAGAAGAGAAAGCTTCCTACCACAAATTCATAAAAAATTATCATACATCTCTCACCTTTGTTATTTTGCGCGAGATAATGCTGTGTTTGTGTTTAAAAGTGTACAGCCAATGATTTGATGCGACAAAATTGTGTAAAGATTCATCCATAGCCTTTTTAAGACCCCACCGACGGATATCAATATCGTGCACTGGCAGAGCTTTCTCTCGAGCTTGTTCGAACATATCGAATACATGATCATCAATTTTCTCGAGTTTTTGTTTCTTCGTTCCATGTTTCTCAAGATAACGGCGAAAGCGAGCGAGATAGTTTTGGTGGGAAATACGTCGGAAGTGATTTTTCACTGTCTCCCACCGTCTCTTTCGTTTTCCAGTTTGTGGATTGATTTCGTCGTAGAAATTGACTGCCCTGGTCATGTAATCAAACGAAAATTGTTTGCATAATACTCTCTCATCATCTTCATCTTCATCATTCCAGTCGGGATCGCATGTTTCTTCAGCTCTATCTTTGTAATCGACGTCATTGATCAATTCGTCATCCCCTAACTCATGATCGAGAGTTGTTTCGACTTCTAAGGTGTGGGAGTGACTGCTAGTAATCGATTCTAGTACGCCACACAGCAGATTAGCTACTTCACATTCACGATTTGTGATAGTAGTGGGGACGGTCGTGTTATTCAACACTATAGAAGTCAATAAATTTTATGCTCGATCAGCGAAAATCTTCACGACATTTGCTGGGTTGATCATTTTGAAAGAGACGTGAGAATCACTAATGTCGGATGCTTGCTTGTATGTAGCTTGTATATCGTATACAATCGAATGCAGAGTAAAACGACCGCGCGGCAAGAATCCGACATGAAAGCGAGAACAAGAGGAGAAAGTAAATAGAGAAACGAACACAAAGAATGCGAGCATGGTATGTTTATTAGTCAACCATGTTTGTACAATAGTGAGCAGAACGAAAGGATAATCGACAGTGTATCATTTGCGTTCTTCAAGCTTTTTTGCTGATATATCATGATACCAGGTATGAAATGAAGAATTCTAGGTGTTTTATAATCAGATGAACAGCTAATAGAAGTGGTACCGATAATATTTGATCTAACTCGGAAACCAGGACAAGTTGCACGCGTAGTACGCAAAGTTTTAAAAAAATTCACCTGAATGCTCTACTGTTTTTCAAAAACTCAAGATTTTCATTTCGATCTCTTTTCGTATAGATCTTGAGAATTCGATATCTCGGGGAAAAAGGCACGAGCGCATGAATTCTCTTGGGATTTTTGATACCTCATAGAGGTCTACTAAACGCCAAAAGACGGGACCTAAAGGGCTTGAACACCTGGGGAAGTTCCCTCGTTAGTACTTCCTATAAGTACATTCGCTTAGTCGTTCGAATGTTCACACTTTTGTAAAATCTGTTCATAGGATAGAATTGCAACATCGTTTAGAGCATCATATAATTATGAAATGCAACACTGAAACAAGGAATAAAATTTTTGATTAGTATGATGAATCAGCAGTGAACAAATCGTCTTTTTATAAAACAAAAAACAACAAATACTTATATTTATTTAATTTATTATAGCTAGAAATTAAGGCTCCCCCACCTTAATTTCTATTTTCGCTTCTGAACATCCAATCTCGCGGAAAATTTCAGAGAAGTTGTATCCAATGCTAAACATCTCACAGTAAAAATTTCAACTCAAAATATTGAGTCTAGCAAGTTTTACCTACAGATTACTAGTCAAAATGGGGTGGGAGGGGGGTCCGGGTTTCCCAAATCCTACTATTGTCTTGAACGCTGGAAAGCTCGGATTTGTTTTATAATCTACCGAAGACCTGGCACTACAACTTAACAGAGCCGGAATTTTAATTTTCGCTTTTGATTTTTTTCTTGAAGTTTTTCTTAACGTGTACGATAGTGATAGGGCATGTACTGTAGTACATTTCGATGTCATGAGATACCAAACACAAAATCTGAAATTTCGGCTCTATTAAGTTGTAGAGTGAAGCATTCCCTTCAATTTGAAACCAATCCAAGCTCTGTAGCGTTTGAAATGATGAAGGGATTTGGGAAATACGAAAACGTTTAAGCAAAAAAACATATTGTGAGAAAAACGCGAAATAAGTTTGAGAAGTGAAATTGACGGTTTTTTCTATAATAACTTGAGATGAAATACACTTTTTTCGTGATTTATCATAGATCAGGGCGTAGACGTAGGTGTTAGTGGGTGTGGGTTGGTGAATATGGATGGGTGTCGGCGTGAGCTTAGCGAAACCTTAGTTTCGCCTTTGTAAAAGTTATCCACTTCAATAAGAATATCGACACTCACACATTTCGAAATAGTAATAATGTTTTCAAATTCCTTCAAATATGTGAAAACACGTCGAGTTTTTGTTCTCTTTTTCGTAGAGAAGAGTCTTAGAAACATAAATTGTTGTTTGCTTGCTTGTTTGCTTGTATGTCCGCAGGGTCAAAAAAACATTGAAAATCGATTTTTTTTTCGAAAAGACATTTCCAGATGTATTTCGATGCGGAGACTGAATCTGATGTTATTTTTTGAAAAGTTTCATAAAAAACACTTTTTTAGACAAAGAACCACTTTTTTTACAAAAAAAAGTTTTTTTTATAAAATTTTACCAAAGGGTTTTTGGGGTCCAGGAATTCAAATCTGATGTTAGTTTCTCGAAATTTTTTGTAAAAAAAAATTTTTGAGACAAAGGACCATTTTTTCATGAGAAAAATATTTTTTGTGAAGACTGACGAAAGGGTTTTTTGGGTCGAGGAACTCGAATATGATGTCATCTCTTTGAAATTTTTCATTAGAAAATTTTTTTTTGAGACAAAGACCCAATTTTTTTTCATGAAATTTCAACAAAGGGTTTTTTTTGGGTTGAGGGATTCAAGTCTGATGTTAGTTTTTTAAAATTTTTTATAAAAATTGATTTTTTAGACAAAGAGCTGTCTTTACAAAAAAAATTTTTCTATGAAATTTGACTACATGGTTTTCAATCTCGAGGAACAGGAATCTGATGTTAGCTTTTTAAAATTTTTTCATAAAAAAAAATTTTTTAGGAGAAGGGTTATTTTTTACGGAAAAAGTGTTTTTTGGTGAAGTTTGACCGAAGGGTTTTCGAAGTCGAGAATTACGAATCTCAAATCAGGTTTTACATATTATATAAACAGAAACTTCAGTGATATTACAGAGGATGATTTCTACGACAAAGAGCTGAGCGAGTCCACAGACGAGCGTTACTTGTTATTTTGGCGTTTCTGGCGCTCTATCGAAGCGTATTCTGTTGGTGAAACATATGCTGACGTATTGAAACTATTTCTCAGTCAACTCTGGAAAACTTCAGCTCAATCTCATCGTCGAATATCAAACAAAAACCTCAACGAGACCTAACAACTTGGTTCTTTGAGAGCGTTTTCCAGAAACCATTTTGAAGACCCCATGAGAGTCCCAAAATATTTCCATTCGATTTTTCATTCATTTTTATCTGTTTCAGCAAATTTTCATCATGAGATGCCTAATTCGACTTATATTATAAGTTGACCCCCGACAGGCTAGTATCAATTCGAATATAAATAGATGTCTATATCACAATTATAACAAATGAGTATATAGGAATAGAAATAGATACAGTTTCACTTATAGCTATATACACCCTCATCCACACCCTCAAGATGCTTGGCAACCATAGATAATCTTAAGTGCAACAATATCTCCTGAACAATTTTGGCAATTGTGATCATGCGTGTCAATCAATGAAAGATTTTTCTCTTGTGAAATTAAAAATTTATTTAATTCTTCTTTGAATTTTTCAGTCGTTTCCGACGTTGTTTTCATTATTGAATGCTACAAACGTGAATATGTGAAAAAATATTCTCGAATTAACTCTCTTCATCAGAAGTAGAAGTAAAATTAATGATTCGTTTTAAATTTTCATGTGTTCAGCGAGTCTGTTAATTGACAGTCCTATGCCAGCTGGAACACAAGCATGTACAGTCATTGTAATTAACGTTTGAACTTCAGAAATGATGATAAATTTTAACTTTTCAGGAAAAACGTAAAATCTTATTCAATCTAATATGATTTAAATTCATAAAATGCTGATTTAGAATCTTCTTTTTTGAGAGTACCATAGATGTCTTTTCCGACAACACATCTGTATCCTGTGTTGCTCTACTCTATGATATACGTGGCGTATTAAAGTTTTCTACATGAATATGTTTCCGTCGTTGAAGACATCACTTTGATTCTTTTGTTACCTTATTTGTATCGGTCAACCTTATCAATCTTACGTATGTATATGTTCACGAACATATACATGGCTCGTTCTCAACTATGTTTTTCTCTGTTCCAATCTATGTCTGAATATATAGCACGAACGGTGAAGCGAATTGAAAGAATGGAAAATGGAACAGATAAAAAAAGTGAACTCATACAGCTACGTTAATTTATTGGTTTCACTTACGAGTATTTCTTTGTTGCTATCAATGATTTCAGTAGCAATAGAAATGCCTTTCTTTGGTGAGATGGTTTGAGTTGTATCATTAGTTGTGCATTTGTCAATTTCTTTTACCTATCATCAAGATAATATTTTGAAAAAAAGATTTCT